GTGGGGGGAGCTCTGGTAGCATAGTGCCTAAAGCACTTGACTGCTAACCAGAAGGCTGGCGGTTCAGACCCACCAGCCACTCCTCGGAAAGAAGATGGGGCAATCTACTTCCGTAGTGATACTGCCTCAGAAACCCAAGAAGGGGTCGCTATGGGTCAGGTCCGACTCGACGGCACATAACAACAACAACACAACATATATATATATATATATTTTAAGCTAATTACTTCATGTCCCAAGACATAACTACAACTACTAGAATAATCAGAAAGAGTAGTTTGTTTTGTTCCTTACTTATCTTTCTGGATTAATCTGATTCATTTTAGAAACTAACACAAATGGATGGCATTAAAAATACACCCAAGTCCCATCTAAAAGTTAAAAATATAACCTAAACCACAACATTTCTCAAAAAAATTTTCACTAAAAAAGAAGGAGTACACTGATAACCGAACTCTCATTTATATTCTCTGAGCTCATGAGAAACAAAAAAGCTAATTCCATCCTTTCTAAATCTAGAAAAAGAGATAACATGTGAAACCATTTAGATCATTACATGTTTTTAGTATATTAGACTTTGAAATAATACTAATATGCATTTATAGTACATAAAATATGTCTACTTGGATAGATAAGAAAAATTTTTTATTCCTAGCTTAAAGTGAAAAATAATAATTTAAAAAAACCCTTGAAAAACTGATCCTCCCAAATGTTCCAACTAAATTATTTTACAATGAACCAAAAAGGCAGCCACATTCTTTAATATACTGAGATTCAAATACATATAATATTATTTGAAATCAGTCTGGCATAAGTAGCCATAGAAATCTTTTATCAGTGTGATATTTTAATACATCACTTTTATCAACACATTTGGTTATATTCAAAATAGTCAATATTTCATTTATTTACCTTAAGAAGATCTATTTCTTTGATGCAATCAGCACGTGCTTTGGCATCCATTAAATCAAATATCTAAAAATAGAATCCAAAATTGTTTAATAAAATAATAATCTATGGTTCAAGATACCTTGTGAATTCACTATAATAATATTCTCTATACAAATTATATGTAAACTAAAAAATCTTTCTGATTGGTTTTTAATAATTATGGAGATCTGTTACTAGTAAAACTTCCATTTTTCCTTCCAAATGCTTTCAGCATGAAAAACTGAAAGAGAGAACAGGAAAAATATTTCTTGATACCCAAGTCTTAAGTTCAAATGGAACAGAAGTTGTGATTATTAAAATAAGAAAATTATAGTTAATATACACCAAATAATTAATATTAGCTAACTGCATTGCATGAACTACCTCATTTATCATTTAATCCCTGTGAAGAGCATAATATTAGTATCCTCATTTTACAGCTGAAGAAAGGAGGCTTAGAAAGCTTAAGAGAGTAACGAAAGGCCATAGAACTAATTAATGGAATTCATTCTCCGAGTTATCCAACTAGAACCTAAGCTCTGAATAATTAATCTATGAAATCTCCAATCAAATCATGTCTAAAAGGTCTAATGCATGGTGCTATCACTCCAAGGAAGTGAAAATTTCTTTTTTTGGGAGGAGTGAGAAAATCTTACTCTTTTTAAGTATAGAGCACAGATATATGTACAGTACACAAACAGATCTACAATATAGATGTGGCATTAAAATGTCATGAGAGTGGGGTGATCAGAAAAATAATATCTAATATGGCTTCCTGGAGTTATAATGAAGAAAAAAACTGAGAAATAGTGGTCTGACAGGAAAAAACAATATACTACAATCTCTGAAAATAAACAAGAAAACGTGCAAGGTCCTAAATGTGTGAAACATAAACAATAAATAAAGCAATATTTTAGGTATTGCAGAGATTGTAATATCTGATTAAGTCAAGAATAAGCCGATTAAAATCCCAATCACCACCAAAAAAAAATTAGTAACATTTACAACCATCCACTTGATTAAGTCTCCTGAACCAGGTGGCTAATTAGTTCCAAGAACTATAGCTGTTAACCTGGAAGGGGTAATATGCTCCAAGCCTTTTTAATCAGGGAAGGAATTAACAAGTATCTACCTGAGGGTGCTGCCTCTTTGGATATGTTGCTTTAATCTCCACTACAATCTTACAAAGTAGATAGCACTGCCTTTACTTTAGACATGAGGACTAAGAGGTTAAAAACCATGCTTATAGTCATAAAACTAGTAGTAAGTGGCAGAACTAAGACAGGAACCTAGGTCACTTCAGCACCACAGTGCGTGTTTTCTCCATTAGCTCAGGCTGACATGAAGTATTCCCCATACACAAAAAAGTAATAAGTACCAAATATATGTATGTGTAAAGTGAAGTATCAGGAAGCTAAAAGATAACATTAGCACTGAACCTTAAAAGAATTTTAGGGTTCTGTCAGCCAGAAATAACAGATTTCTACGGCATAAAAGTAAATATTGATTATGGATATGTAATTACAGCTAATAAAAGAGAACTTTTACTCAATATTATTCTTAACACCCAAAGATGTACAGGGTTCTAATTTTTCCTTAAAACAATCAATGTGAGAATATTTTAAAAAATAATAATAACAAAAATAAAATCTAAAAGTTCCTTGTCTTAAAGAATTTTAACTTCTGTTCAATCCCTCCCAGTTCTTGCCCAAATGCATGTGTTCTTCATGTAGTGAAAGCAAGAGTATGTAAAATACCATATGCATTTTTTCTACCTACACATTATAGCAAAACCACTTTTAAGTTTCTACAGTCTTAAATTTATTTTGGTTCTGCTGTATCTAATAAAAATTTCAAGTATCAATTTCATGTTTTACAATTTCCAATGTGAAAGAGATGAACACTACTGACTTTTAAGGTTTCACAAAATACATGGTATTTACATGTATGAGAAAATGAGATAAAAATTTAGAATCTTATCTTAATTAATGGTTTATAAAAAGAGAGAAACAGACTAGATGGCACCAGAGTTCCTTCCACTTGACTTGAGTAAGAAGGAAATGTGTGTGTTGTTGCATGTTTGGAAAGAATAACATCTCTTTTCTCCACTAGTAACAATCCCAACATCTTAGTCAAATGAACATGTGTTAATAACTACCATGATTTTGGAAAGGAATGGAGAGGAGGGGAGAAGATAAGAGAAGGTTATGAATAGCAAATCACCATCACAAAGTTCACATAAAGTATCTAGTAATAAAGTCTTAGCAAACATCAACTATATATATATATATATAACAAACTTTGATAAAATGAGATTACAAATTAGATAGAAATTGACCCTAATAGCAAGGGTATAAAAAGGACTATCAGCATTAAAGCACTAACAGTAAGGTAGTACTTAGAAGGAAGGGGAAAACCATAGACTCTAATCCTTTCATAAAGCATCCAGTTTTACTCTACATATAGATGATTAATGACAATAATCTGATCCTGGGCATAGGCAAGCTTTAAACTGCTCATGTCCATACTTCCATCGTTCATAAAAATGTATTAGGAACTGTTTTGGTTACTTCATGCTGCTCTAACAGAAATACCACAAATAGGTAGCTTTAACAAACAGGGGTTTATTCTCTTACAGTTTAGGAGGCTAGAAACCAGAGTTCAAAGTGCCAGCTCTAGAGCCTAGGAGACAGCCCCTTGATCTTGGGCTTCAGCTCTGCCTCTTATTCTTGGCCCACTAGAGCTGGAGGCATCTCTTCACTCAGGCAACTGATGACTGCTGAAGCATACAAACCCAAGGTCAACAAATAAATTGGCCCAGTCCCAAGATTATCAAGCAATACTAAAAAAACAAACAAACTCACTGCCGTCAAGTCATTTCCAACTCATAGTAACCCTTCCTTGGGTTTCCAAGGTGGTATGTCTACAGAAGTAGATTACCCAATCTTCCTTCTGGGGAGTGGCTGGTGGGTTTGAACCTCCAACATTAATTCAAGTCCAGAAACAGTCCCAAGATCAGCAGACAACACGGCAGGCTACTGAGATGAACACTTGGCCAAATGCCATCAACTCCATGGTAGAATCTACTAGAGCACCTGAGTACTGCCTTAGGGATGTGGTTTGCTTCCAATATATCTAAGGAGAAGCTCTGGGAATGGTCTGCAGCTTTTTGGCATGCTGGACCCTGCATATAACTGAGTCCTCATTCAGCAGCTTGCCATGTTTACTGCCAATCTTAGGACTATCTCTGGACTTGATAAATGGAGAAAAGATTGAACTTGTCAAGAATTTCATTTTCTTTGCATCCACAATCAATGCCCATGAAAATAGCAGTCAAGAAATCATATGACATATTGCATTGGGCAAATCTGCTGCAAAGGACCTCTTTAAGATGCTTAATAAAGATGTCACTTTGAGGACAAAAGTATGCCTGATTCAAGCCATGGTATTTTCAAACACTTCATAGCTATGTAAAAGCTGGACACTGAGTAAGGAAGACTGAAGAAGAACTGATGCATATGAATGGTGTTGGTGAAGAATACTGAATATAGCATGGACTGCCAGAAAAATGAACAAATATGTCTTGGAAGAAGTACAAGATTGCTAGATTGCTCCTTAGAAGCGAAGATGGAGAGGTTTTGTTTCACTTACTTTGGACATGTTATCAGGAGGGACCAGTCCCTGGAGAAGGACATCATGTTTGGTAAAGTAGAGGGTCAACGAGAAAGAGGAAGACCCTCAAGATAGATTAACACAATCATTCCAACAATGGACTAAAAATGGCAACAATTATGAGGACGCTACAGGATTGGGCACTGTTTTATTCTGTTGTACACAGGGTCGCTATAAGCTGGAATAGACTTGATAGTATCTGATAAGAAGGCAAAACTAAACTTAAACTCTGAACCAAATACATTGATAAATACAGTATTAACTGGAAATTCAGAAATATCTTCTCTTTCTTTTTCTCTTAGCCAACAAGTCAAAACAAAAATAAATACTGAGTCTTTTGACTAAGTTTTTCCCAGCTGTAGATTAATGGTTTAAAGCTGTCTAACTGATTTCACGATTAACAAAGACCACACAGATGGAAAAGGAAAAAGAAAAAAACCCTGGGTTTTATGAAAGTATTTTTCACAAAATATTTATAAGCAAGTCTTCGGAAGGCATCTTTTTCAGCCAAAGCTTCTTCAGGTTTTAAAACTTATTTTATACTCAGCAGGAGTAAAGTCACTAGTTGTGTTTAGGCAAGTACTGGCTGATAAATTCTTGGTATTCTCTGAATCATTTTCAATGCTTTCCTTTTTCATCTTGAAAAACTTAAACTTACTCATCACTAATGAAAATGAAAAGGTTAATACTGGATATCTTTAAGAGGAAAAATAATCATGCAAGTAACAATACAAATGTCCTCAAAAAGGCTTATGTGGTGTAGTAAATTACATGGTATGGCTTTTCTACCCATTGTTGTTGTTGTTGTTATGTGCCATCGAGTCAGACCCGACTCATAGTGACCCCTCCTTGGGTTTCCGAGGCAGTATCACTACGGAAGTAGATTGCCTCATCTTCCTTCCTAGGAGTGGCTGGTGGGTTTAAACCGCCAGCCTTCTGGTTAGCAGTCAAGTGCCTTAGGCACTATGCTACCAGATAGTCTTTGTAACTCCCACTTTGCTGTGAGCAACTGAGTAGCTGCTTGTTAAACTCATCCATCTAGGGCATCATGAAGTAATCTTCTGGGAAAGTTCACTCTCTCTTAGGCGTGCAGAGCTTTAATGTTGGGATTGGTTGGTCTTGTCACTCTGCCAGGATCAAAATGAGCCCTCCTAGAGGCTGAAGGAATCTCTCTGACTGCCGTTTGAGAGAGATGTGGTGCTGAGAGAGAGACATGCAATTGAGAGAGAGATGCCTGGCTGAGATAGAGACACCATGCTGAGAGAAAGACCCAACTGAGAAATAGCTGCCCAGCTGAGAGAAACACCTGATTCACAGAAATGCCCGGCTAAGAGACCGTGGTAGTGGAACCAAGAGGCATGAGACAGTGGCAG